GTGTTGTATGTATATTGGCTTGGTTGGGGGGGTCGTTTCCAGCCAGCCCTCCCTCCTAATGGGGACTGTCTGCTGGTGTACCCCAAAACATCTCAACCCAAGTGTTATCACTAAATGTTAGATTGCCATCCGCACCACTGTGGTCATTATGCAGGGAGGGGGGACAATCGGCCCACCCAATGCACCAAAACAACCCTGAGTGTATAAAAAGCCAGTTTTGAGTTTCCACCCAACCCCCATAAAGAGTTTTCATGTTCAGACAGGATTAGTGTCGTCCCCATAGTCTTGTATGGTCCACGGTTGCTAGTGTCAGTGGTTGGTGTTCGGACAGACGCATGTGTTGCATCGTCTGTATGTTGTCTGCTTCAGCAAACTATTATAGCAGGTGATGTCTGTGGTGTTTCTCCAAGCGGTTGTGTGCGGACTAGAACTGCTGGTGTGTCGTGCTTGTCTTGTATGGTCAGCAGGAGGTTTGTCAGTGGTCGGATAAAATGTTGGACAAATAAAGAGTTCATGTTCAACTCGAGTGTCGTCTAGTCTTGTATGGTCCGACGGTTGGGTGTCAGTGGTCGGTGTTCGGACAGACTGGTGTCGTCTAGTCTTGTATGGATCAGCAAGGTGCGTGTCTGTGGTCGGTGTTCGGTGACAGACTGGGTGTCGTCTAGTCTTGTATGGTCAGCAGTGGTGTCGGTGGTCGCGTGTGTTCGGGACAGATTGTGTCGTTCTAGTTTTGTCCATGGTTGGCTGAAGGTGCTGTTGTCCGGTGTGTCGGACAGATTGGTGTCGTCTAGTCTTGTGATGGTCGGCTGTGGTGCCTGTTGTATGTTGTGTCGGACAGACTAGTGTCGTCGTCTCGTACTGGTCATGGTGGTGTCTGGCGTCGGTGTTCGGAGGGGTGAAAGCTGTGTTCTATATGGATAGTACTCATCGCAGGCTGGGTTTCGGTTCTGTTACTAGGCCTTGTCACCAGGAGGCTGTCGGTTCCAGTAATTGCCTCCTGTTGTTTGTCCTCCAGACAACATTGTACACAACTAGATGTCCATAACACATTACCTGGGGGTTGGGGGGTGAGATCTCCTCTGGAATCCTGAAAAAATAAAAAAAGGAAACCTTTTACTGAGCAAATAGTGCTAAATTGAACCCCCCAACAGGAAAAATAAAATCAGCGCTGCCTATAGCTCTGCTTACTGACACCAAATCATCTTCGTCTCTATGGTGGACAAAGGCATTGTCTGGCTGGAAGAGAAACTGCTCCCAGGCACACTTAACTTCTGTGTTTTTGGTGCCACCATCTCCTGTGGAAGCTCTACAATGTTCCTTTCTGTATCCAATAGTGCCCTCAGAAACACCACCATTTTTTGAGTTGAGAGAGATTGCGTTTCTTCCAATTCAACCAGCAGTAATCCTGATGTTCTTGTGTAAGAACATCTCCCTTTGCTGGACAAGAGCTTCCAGACAGCTGGCCAGAAGGACATTGTCCAGGTAATGATGAACATCCATTCCTCTCTCCCTCAGTCCTGTGAGAGGTGGACAACCCGAAGGGAAGGCTCCAAAACTGGAAAATATGATGGACTGCAAAGCAGAGTAACTTCTGATAGGCCAGGTGAATATGCACATGCAGATGTGCATCTGATAAATCTACGAAGAGCATCCAGTCTCCTAGATTTTTCGAAAGAAGAATCAACTGAAGACTCTCTATATTGGAGAATTCCAGTTCTATTCTTCTGCTGAATTTCTTTAAGTCCAAAACTGGACGTAAACCTCCTGTCTTTTTTTTTTTTTTACTAGAAACAAAGGCGAGTAGAAACCTTTTCCTTCTGGGAACTTGGGACTTCGACTATTGCCCTTTTGTGAAGTAAAAATGGTCACATACTGGACTAAAATTTTCTTGCCTGTTGACTGAAGATGGGAGCCTGGTAGACTGCATTGGTTATCTGGCTTCCACCCTCACATTCTGGACAGGCACACTCTCAGAATGATTTTTGTTGTGCAACTGCAAAGAAGCTTGGGTGCCTTTCCAATTCTTTCTGTAGTCCCTATTTGGCCTGGAAGACTTTGATTTTTTTTATACACTATATTGCCAAAAGTATTGGAGCACCTGCCTTTACACCTGAACTTTAATGGCCCCCCAGTCTTTTCGTCCGTAGGGTTCAATATTGAGTTGGCTCCTCCCTTTCCACACACATGACCTTTAATGGCCCCCCAGTCTTAGTCCGTAGGGTTTCAATATTGAGTTCGCCGAGTCCTCCCTTTCCACACACATGACCTTAATGGCCCCCCAGTCTTAGTCCGTAGGGTTCTATATTGAGTTGGCCCCGCCCTTTCCACACACATGACCTTTAATGGCCCCCCAGTCTTAGTCCATAGGGTTCAATATTGAGTTGGCCCGCCCTTTGAAGCTATAACAGCTTTAACTCTTCTGGGAAGGCCGTTCACAAGGTTTAGGAGGGTGTCTATGGGAAGGTTGGACCATTCTTCCAGAAGCACATTTGTCAGGTCAGGCACTGATGTCGGGGGAGGAGGCCTGGCTCGCAGTCTCCGCTCTAATTCATCCCAAAGGTGTTCTATGGGTTGAGGTCAGGACTCTGTGCAGGACAGTCAAGTTCCTCCACCCCAAACTGGCTCCTCCGTGTCTTTATGGACCTTGCTTTGTGCACTGGTGAGCAGTCATGTTGGAACAGGAAGGGGCCATCCCCAAATTCTTCCCACAAAGTTGGGAGCATGAAATTGTCCAAAATGTCGCCTTAAGAGTTCCCTTCACTGGAACTAGGGGGCCAAGCCCAACCCCTGAAAAACACCCCCCCACCATAATCCCATCTCCACCAAACTTTACAATTGGTCCACTACAGTCTGGCTTCTGTCCTCTACACCGAAACTGCCCTACTCAAAATCACCAATGACCTGCTAACCGCCAAAGCTAATGGCCACTACTCAGTCCTCCTACTCCTTGACCTCTCCGCGGCCTTCGACACAGTCGACCACCCCCTCCTTCTTAATAAACTACACTCCCTTGGCATCAGAGACTCCGCTCTCTCCTGGCTCTCCTCTTACCTATCCCAATGCTCTTTCAGCGTTACCTATAATGCTACCACACTCCCCTTCTCTCCCCCTCTCTGTTGGGGTCCCCCAGGGCTCTGTCCTAGGGCCCCTTCTCTTCTCCATCTACACCTCCTCCCTCGCAAACTGATACACTCCCACGGCTTCAACTATCACCTCTACGCCGATGACAAGCAAATTCTTACCTCTCCACCCCTCACCTCACCCCTTCAGTCTCCGTCCGAATCACCCACCTACTGAACGACATATCAGACTGGATGTCGCTCCATTTCCTCAAACTGAACCTTTCCAATACCGAGCTCCTGATTTTCCCCCCATCCCCACACCCTCCACCCACACATGTCAAAGAACACCTCCGTGAATGGCATCCCAGTCTTAGTCCGTCAGGCAGTTCATTATCCCAGTATGCTGTCCCCTATTGGTTCCATGCCCCCCTCCCCCCCACCCTCTACATCACACGACCAACACACGCACCATCAGTCCCACCTCACAAGCCAAAGTCCTAGGTGTCACTCTGGAACTCAAACCTGCCCTTCCAACCCCCATGTCCAATCGTTGGCAAACTCATGCAGGCTCCACCTCCGCAACATCTCCAAAACTCCGCTTGTTCCTAACCCCAGACACTGCTAAACAACTCGTTCACTCCCTTATTATCTCACGTCTGGACTACTGCAACTCCCTCCTCACCGGCCTCCCCCTCATCACAGACTATCCCCGCTTCAGTCTATCCTCAACTCAGCAAATTTGTCCAGCCAGACTCATCCACCTCACCAACCTCTCCGCTTCTGCCTCCCCCCTCTGTCATTCCCCTCCCCACTGGCCTCCATTCAGTGTCCTCCACCCCCCTCTGTCATTCCCTCCACTGGCCCCCACTCAGTGTCCTCCACCCCCCTCTGTCATTCCCTCCACTGGCTCCCGATTGCCCAACGCATCAAATTCAAACTACTAACACTGACATACAAAGCCATTCATAATGCTGCCCCAAACTACCTCACCGACCTGATACCCAAATACCACCCAACACGCACTCTCCGCTCCTCACAAGATCTCCTACTTTCTAGCTCCTGGTCTCCACCTCCCGCGCCAGACTGGCAGGACTTCTCCAGGACTTCCCCCATCCTCTGGAACTCACTACCCCCCAATCCATCAGACTGTCACCTACCCTCCTCACCTTTTAGGCGCACCCTGAAAACCCATCTCTTCAGGGAAGCCTACCCCCCGCCCTCACTAACAGCCGATCTCCTCCTCTCCTCCTACCACTCTATCCCCCCACAGCCACTTCCTCCCGTACCACCATCCCCTCCCTCCTAGATTGAAAGCTCAAAAAGAGCAGGGGATTCGCACCCCTCGTGTATTGTATTGTTACTGTATTGTCTCATGTTTCTGTCCCCACAATCAAATGTACAGCGCTGAGCAAACCTTCTGCTGCTATATAAATACTGTATTATAAATAATAATAATAATTGGCACAATGCAGTCAGGCAAGTACCGTTCTCCAGGCCACCGCCAAATCCAGACACGTCTATTGGATTGCCAGACAGAGAAGCGTGGATTGGTCACTCCAGAGAACACGTCTCCTCTGCTCTAGAGTCCAGTGGCGGCGTGCTTTACACCACGGCGTCTGACGCTTTGCATTGCACTTGGTGATGGAAGGCTTGGATGCAGCTGCTCGGCCCATGGAAACCCATTCCATGAAGCTCTCTACGCACTGTTGTTGGACTCATCTGAAGGCCACACCAAGTTTGGAGGTCTTTAGCTATTGACTCTGGTAGACAGTTGGCGACTTCTGCGCACTGTGCGCTTCAGCATGCGCTGAACCCCGCCCTGTCATTGACGTGGCCTACCACTTGGTGGCTGAGTGGCTGTTGTTCCCAGTGATTTCCACTTTGTTATAAATCCCACTAATAGTTGAGCGTGGAATATTTAGTAGCCAGGAAATGCCACTGATGGACTTATTGAACGGGTGGCCACCTATCACGGGACCACGCTTGGGAGTCACTGAGCTCCTGAGAGCGACCATTCTTTCACCAATGTTTGTAGAAGCAGTCTGCATGCCTAGGGGCTTGATTGTATACAACTGTGTCCATGGAGGGGATTGGAACACCTGAATCACATGATATGGAGGGGATTGGAGCACCAGGATCACATGATATGGAGGGGATTGGAACACCTGAACCACATGATTGGGAGGGGATTGGAACACCTGAATCACATGATTTGGAGGGGAATGGAATACCTGAATCACATGATTGGGAAGAGATTGGAACACCTGAATTACATGATTTGGAGGCCGAGCCCAATACTTTTGGCAATATAGTGTATCTATCCAGAAGGTGACATTTGAATGATGGACCTCTCTCGGCTTTATGTTTTTATTTTAGAATAAAGCCGGACCTGCTTCCTGTCACCTTTGCTATGGCTGAATCCAGCTTACCACCGAAGAGATTGTTACTATTGCAAGGATTTCGCACTAGTTAGATTTTGATGCCTAAATTTGCCCTTACCAAACATCCAATCACATCCACTGAAGTCACCTGCCAGCTTTAACTCCTAAGGGCTGTGATTGTCCTGTAAAACTTGCTCCTGGCTGGGGGGGGGTTTGCAGGTCTGCAGGCACGCCCAATCCGCTTTGTGAGCATGTGAAACAAAGTCCATCTTGTAATTTAACGCACCTTAAAGTCGCACCTTTAAAAGTGACTACGTCCCTTCATAGGAAGGGTGACTACGTCCTTCATAGGAAGGTGACATAAGGAAGGGTGACTACGTCCTTCATAGGAAGGGTGACTAACGTCCTTCATAGGAAGGGTGACTACGTCCTTCATAGGAAGGGTGACTACGTCCTTCATAGGAAGGGTGACTACGTCCTTCATAGGAAGGGTGACTACGTCCCTTCATAGGAAGGGTGACTACGTCCTTCATAAAGGGTGACTACGTCTTCAAGGAAGGGTGACTACGTCCTTCATAGGAAGGGTGACTACGTCCTTCATAGGAAGGGTGACTAACGTCCTTCATAGGGAAGGGTGACTACGTCCTTCATAGGAAGGGTGACTACGTCCTTCATGGGAAGGGTGACTACGTCCTTCATAGGAAGGGTGACGTGCCTTGCAAGGTGCCTTGCTGCAAAACGGAGAAGAAAGCAGCAAATGGACTCTTTTAGAGGATATAACTGGGATGATCTGTTATTGATGATTTTATTCAGCAGGCTTTGCTACTCACCTTGTTCCATTCCATCCAGTTCCTCAACGAAGGGAAAGGATTCTGGCTCTTTTCTGAGATTGGGAAAGTGGTTTTCCTGACATTTCGAGAATCTCCTATACATCTGACCTGCAACCCTCTCTTTAACCTCTCTAGTATGAAAGGGCTCCACCAGAATTGAAATCAAAGCCTGCGACCCCCTTTAGGATACTCATTTTCTGACAAACATATCCCCCCCCCTTATGTATTATACATGGAGATCATCATATCCCCCCTTATGTTGTATTATACATGGAGATCATATCCCCCCTTATGTATTATACATGGAGATCATATCCCCCTTTATGTATATACATGGAGATCATATCCCCCCCTTATGTATTATATACATGGAGATCATATCCCCCCCTTATGTATTATACATGGAGATCATATCCCCCCTTATGTATTATACATGGAGATCATATCCCCCCCCTTATGTATTATACATGGAGATCATATCCCCCCCTTATGTATTATACATGGAGATCATATCCCCCCTTATGTATTATACATGGAGATCATATCCCCCCCCCCTTATGTATTATACATGGAGATCATATCCCCCCTTATGTATTATACATGGAGATCATATCCCCCCTTATGTATTATACATGGAGATCATATCCCCCCTTATGTATTATACATGGAGCCCCCTTATGTATTATACATGGAGATCATATCCCCCCTTATGTATTATACATGGAGATCATATCCCCCCCTATGTATTATACATGGAGATCATATCCCCCCCTTATGTATTATACATGGAGATCATATCCCCCCCCCCCTTATGTATTATACATGGAGATCATATCCCCCCTTATGTATTATACATGGAGATCATATCCCCCCCCTTATGTATTATACATGGGAGATCATATCCCCCCCCTATGTATTATTATACATGGAGATCATATATCCCCCCTTATGTATTATACATGGAGATCATATCCCCCCTTATGTATTATACATGGAGATCATATCCCCCCCTTATACATGGATATTATACATGGAGATCATATCCCCCCCTTATGTATTATACATGGAGATCATATCCCCCCTTATATTATTATACATGGAGATCATATCCCCCCTTATGTATTATACATGGAGATCATACCCCCTTATGTATTATACATGGAGATCATATCCCCCCTTATGTATTATACATGGAGATCATATCCCCCCTTATGTATTATACATGGAGATCATATCCCCCCCCTTATGTATTATACATGGAGATCATATCCCCCCCTTATGTATTATACATGGAGATCATATCCCCCCTTATATGTATTATACATGGAGATCATATCCCCCCTTATGTATTATACATGGAGATCATATCCCCCCTTATGTATTATACATGGAGATCATATCCCCCCTTATGTATTATACATGGAGATCATATCCCCCCTTATGTATTATACATGGAGATCATATCCCCCCCCCCTTATGTATTATACATGGAGATCATATCCCCCCCTTATGTATTATACATGGAGATCATATCCCCCCTTATGTATTATACATGGAGATCATATCCCCCCCCCTTATGTATTATACATGGAGATCATATCCCCCCCCTTATTATACATGTATTATATGTATTATACATGGAGATCATATCCCCCCTTATGTATTATACATGGAGATCATATCCCCCCCTATGTATTATATACATGGAGATCATATCCCCCCCCCCCCCCCCTTATGTATTATACATGGAGATCATATCCCCCCCCTTATGTATTATACATGGAGATCATATCCCCCCCATGGAGATCATATCCCCCCTTATGTATTATACATGGAGATCATATCCCCCCCCCTTATGTATTATACATGGAGATCATATCCCCCCCTTATGTATTATACATGGAGATCATATCCCCCCTTATGTATTATACATGGAGATCATATCCCCCCCCTTATGTATTATACATGGAGATCATATCCCCCCCCCCCCCTTATGTATATACATGGAGATCATATCCCCCCCCCTATGTATTATACATGGAGATCATATCCCCCCTTATGTATTATACATGGAGATCATATCCCCCCCTTATGTATTATACATGAGAGATCATATCCCCCCCTTATGTATTATACATGGAGATCATATCCCCCCCCTTATGTATTATACATGGAGATCATATCCCCCCTTATGTATTATACATGGAGATCATATCCCCCCCTTATGTATATTATACATGGAGATCATATCCCCCCTTATGTATTATACATGGAGATCATATATCCCCCCTTATGTATTATACATGGAGATCATATCCCCCTTATGTATTATATATGGAGATGGAGATCATATCCCCCCTTATGTATTATACATGGATCATATCCCCCCCTTATGTATTATACATGGAGATCATATCCCCCCCCTTATGTATTATACATGGAGATCATATCCCCCCCTTATGTATTATACATGGAGATCATATCCCCCCCCTTATGTATTATACATGGAGATCATATCCCCCCTTATGTATGTATATACATGGAGATCATATCCCCCTTATGTATTATACATGGATCATATCCCCCCTTATGTATTATACATGGAGATCATATCCCCCCTTATGTATTATACATGGAGATCATATATCCCCCCTTATGTATTATATACATGGAGATCATATCCCCCCCTTATGTATTATATACATGGAGATCATATCCCCCCCTTATGTATTATACATGGAGATCATATCCCCCCCCCCTTATGTATTATACATGGAGATCATATCCCCCCCTTATGTATTATACATGGAGATCATATCCCCCCTTATGTATATTATACATGGAGATCATATCCCCCCTTATGTATTATACATGGAGATCATCATATCCCCCCCCCCCTATGTATTATACATGGAGATCATATCCCCCCTTATGTTATTATACATGGAGATCATATCCCCCCCCCCCCTGTATGTATTATACATGGAGATCATATCCCCCCCCTATGTATTATACATGGAGATCATATCCCCCTTATGTATTATACATGGAGATCATATCCCCCCCTTATGTATTTATACACATGGAGATCATATCCCCCCCCTATGTATTATACATGGAGATCATATCCCCCCTTATGTATTATACATGGAGATCATATCCCCCCCTTATGTATTATACATGGAGATCATATCCCCCCTTATATGTATTATACATGGAGATCATATCCCCCCCCCTTATGTATTATACATGGAGATCATATCCCCCCCTATATTATACATGGATTATACATGGAGATCATATCCCCCCTTATGTATTATACATGGAGATCATATCATATCCCCCTTATGTATTATACATGGAGATCATATCCCCCCTTATGTATTATACATGGAGATCATCATATCCCCCCCCTTATGTATTATACATGGAGATCATATCCCCCCTTATGTATTATACATGGAGATCATATCCCCCCTTATGTATTATACATGGAGATCATATCCCCCCCCTATGTATTATACATGGAGATCATATCCCCCCCTTATGTATTATACATGGAGATCATATCCCCCCCCTTATGTATATATACATGGAGATCATATCCCCCCTTATGTATTATACATGGAGATCATATCCCCCCCTTATGTATTATACATGGAGATCATATCCCCCCCTTATGTATATACATGGAGATCATATCCCCCCCTTATGTATTATACATGGAGATCATATCCCCCCTTATGTATTATACATGGAGATCATATCCCCCCCCTTATGTATACATTATACATGGAGATCATATCCCCCCCCTTATGTATTATACATGGAGATCATATCCCCCCCCCCTTATGTATTATACACATGGAGATCATATCCCCCCCCTTATGTATTATACATGGAGATCATATCCCCCCCTTATGTATTTATACATGGAGATCATATCCCCCCTTATGTATTATACATGGAGATCATATCCCCCCCCTTATGTATTATACATGGAGATCATATCCCCCCCCCTATGTATTATACATGGAGATCATATCCCCCCCTTATGTATTATACATGGAGATCATATCCCCCCCTTATGTATTATACATGGAGATCATATCCCCCC